TAAATTTCATGTTGTAAACAAGATGCCCCAAAAAAGCAAAGAAGTAATTTTTAAATTTTTTGATATTTTCCTAATTCATATCCCAAAAGATGAAAATTGGTTGTAATATAGACATGTTTTAATTTAGTAAATGATTTTTTTTTTGTTTTTTATATAAATTTATGGAGATATTGCCCCTTTAGGTGATGAGTGACATGGAAAACAAAGTGTCACTGCTCTGTAAATAAAAATACTGACTGAAAAAACTAATGATATATATAGATATGCAAGGTCATCTAAACTAAATTTGGTCAATCATATATCATTCATGTTTGGTTGAAAAGATCAGACTTTTTTATGCAATTGTTTCTGAGATATTGCCATTTTGGTGAAAGCTTGGAATTGAATCATGAATTTGCCATATTGCTTGCCACTTTAGGGGGTGGTAACATTGTAACAGCTTGCCAGTTAATGAGTTAATTTAACAGAACAGCAAACAAAGATTTAGTGTTTTGTTCTCTGCGACCTACTTTTAAAGTGTGTCAAGAAAATACGCTAAAGTCATTTGTTTCATCATTAATTTAAATGAGGGATCTAAACAAACAGCTTGACTGCCAAGCTTTCTCAAGGTCTCAACTTGCTGGACGTTGGATATACAACTTCTAACGGGATAACAACAGCAATAACCACAGAGTAGAGACATACATGGAGAGTAGAGACGATTACATGGAAAAAGTTTCAACCCGGGTTGAATTTCAACCGGTTTATGTCACCCGGTGTCACAGGAAATTTGGCCCCCCCGAAAATTTGGCCCCCCCGGGCCAAATTTCCTAGGAAAGTTGGCCCCCCCGGGCCATATTTCCTAGGAAATATGGCCCCCTCTTCGGAAATTTGGCCCCCCTTAAAAAATTATAGTTTGTTTTATCTTTACGCTCGGAAATCGTAAGGCTTCTACTAAAACAAATTTCTAGAAATTTTTCTCAACATTTATAGTCAGTTTGCGCAATTTTTTGTGTCAAAATTCTCCATTGAATTGCAATACTGACGAGAATTAGGCCAAGAGCTAAAGTTTAGCGTACTTTTCGCGTTTGGTTTTGACCAGCTTTGTAGAAGACATTAATAAATAATGGCTGTATCATTAAGCTAAGGAAACGGAACGTCATTCAATTGCAAACCTTTGTGCTTTTGTGTGTGCGGAATGTTTCAGTTGTGAGCCATGAAGCATGCAGTCTACTTTCGTTTTTACGGAATGCTTCTATAATGCATCCCAACCATATGAGCGAGTATATATATTGTGTATGTGTAAATGCATAGGAAATTCAAGGTTTTTTTTACGAAGTAATCACTCATTTAATTTTGTTTTTTGAACAAACGTTTCCACTTAAAATTCTACTTTTACTGCTGTTATTTATTAGACGCGTGCATATTAACATATTCGCCAACGCAGATGTCATCGTTTGCTAAAGTGCGGTTGTTATTCTGACTAATTTTATACTATGTGACTGAATAAATAGATCTAAATAACTTTGTAATATCTTAGAAATTCCTATCTCTAAAAATCGTTTCGTGTTCTTAGCTTAAAGCTAAGCGATCATACATTAACGTTGTCCTTTACAGATACCCATGTGTGATGTGTCTGGCATGACTGCACTAGCACATTATTATTACGCTTTCCTTCAAACTTTTAGCTCTTGGCCGCAACGAAGAATTTCGACACAAATAAATTATGCAAACTAACTATAAATACTGACAAATACTTTTAGGATCTTGGTTTTAGAAGAAGCTAATTTCCTAGGAAATTTGGCCCGGGGGGGCCAAATTTTGGGGGGGCCAAATTTCCTGGGACACCGGGATGAGATCTTCAGCCCTGTCAAACGGGATAACATATCCAATCATGTTTAAATGGCGTTTAAGTTTGCGTTTCATCTGAAGCTGGTCAAAACCAAACGCGAAAAGTACGCTAAACTTTAGTTCTTGGCCTAATTCTCGTCAGTATTGCAACTCTATGGAGAATTTCGACACAAAAAAAATACGCAAACTGACTATAAATGTTGAGGAAAATTTCTAGAAATTTGTTTTAGTAGAAGCCTC